AGAGAGAGAGAGCGAGAGAGAGAGAAAGAGAGAGAGAGAGAGAGAGAGAGAGAGAGAGAGAGAGAGAGAAAAAGAGAGAAAATAGAAACAGACAGGAAGTGGGGGAGATTAGAATTGATACCTAAAGAAGGCCAAATAATGTAAAAAATCAGACCTCAACTGTTTTTTAAAATGTATTAAAATGTATACAGCAACAAAGGTGCTCATATGAAGAGCATTCAAGAACAAAAATCAGTATAAATCAAAAAACAGTATCTCAACCATTCCCAGGGAGGAAGAACTTCTTTTGAGTTTTGAGTTTGGGTAAAGAGAAGCACAATGACTCAACAACAGTCGTGCAGTGCAGGAAAGAAGCAATACAATCAAGACAAAAACAACAGAAAAAAAGTAAAGGAGTAGGACCTACCAGTGGCGCCCTCCCACCACCCACAAAGAACGTCGTCTCACTGACCTGTATCACCGGGGCCTTTATAGAGTCCAGCCAGCTCAACATCATGACGGCCACTTTGGGGTTCCTCACCGCACCAGTCCTGCTCTCACTGTAGTCCTCCTCCACTACCTGTGACACCATGACAAATACGACAATTCTTTCGTCCATGCTTTTTAAAAAGTGAATACAACTAACTTTTTTTGTTTTTTAAAATGGATACAATTAATCTTCTTTTCAATTTCTTTTTTCTTTTGTTTTTTCTTTACTTTTTGTGGCTACAACAAATCAGCACAAACTGGTTCTCTGATACACATCACGAGATACCTTTGATATCGCAAACCAACCAAGCAGATTGTAGAGAGTAGGATGCTGCTGTTAGAGTGCCCAAATCTTATACTTGTATGGGAAAAAGCATTATATTAAAATTTAATCTATTATCATTTTTATTAATCTAAGAGGTATTTCATTTTCACAGTGAGAGAAAACCACGGACTGCAACAAATGACCACACAGACAAGAAGACTGTCATGGTAGTCCTCCACTTCATGCAAGGGCATGAGATACGATAAATCGGTAGACATGTGGTCTCTGATACTTGAAACTAGTAATACCTCTGATACCTCCCAAACAGACTTTATAAAGCAGGAAACTAGCATCAAACTAAAAAGTATTGCATTTTCAAGGTGGTATTGAATCTCTGATACATGATATCTCTGACACCTCAAATCGACTGAATGGATACTACAGAAAAGAAACCTAGTACGAGATCAAAAGTGTTACATATTCAAAGAGATATGATTTTTTTATGTTTTATGGACCCATTGACACATTCCAACCTATATAGAACAGTCGATGCTCGTCGACCTATTCTGCAGCCAGCGCTCACTTTTGCCATCATTAAAAGGCTAAATTTTTCGTATTGCCCACCAACATGTATCTCCAAGTGGGGCATAAAACAACACTTGTCCCTGCCTGGATGATCCCCACCAACCATCAAAATTATGAAGTCGACTCAAGAGGGTGATGCTGCCCAGGTTGGCAAACACTAATAAAGGAGGCGGGATGTTTCAACCTGGCCTTTCAGGGCCAACCCAAGCTGGGAAGGATATAGTATCCCATCAGAAGGATGGAGTTATTGAAATGAGACTTGATAAAACAGACTTGATTAAATAAACTCGACTTCGTAGACTTCCCCACTCAGATCTTCGGTATGCAACAGGTTTTTAGTCAAAGTTTTATAGCACTTGCAACACAATCAGGTCATATAAGTGACAAAGAGAAGAGGTAATTTTAGGGTGCAACAAATGAACAAAAGTAGGAGAAATGATAAGGATGACAGATTTCAGATAAAAAAGAAAGATCAAACTATATCACAGCATCCACCAACCATTACACACAGAAGACATTGGTTCACAGAGAAAAGTGAACGATACCTTGTTACAAACAACCACACAGATGAGGCAAATGACTGAACACATGAGCCCACTGACCAGATTCATGAGAGCCTGTAACAGGCTTTCCGAGGGCTGACCACACAGGCGCAAAACATCCAGCAATTCCTGGTAGCCGACACTCTTTTCAAATGAAGCCTGAATAGATTAAATGGATAAGGAGAATGGGATACAACAAATCTGCATTAAGGAATGAAGAAAAAAAAAAGCTAACTTCACCTGACAAGGACACCAAAGTCCCTTAAAAAATAACGGACACTTCAGTTTTTGTAAAAGTTTTACAGCACTTACAACACAATAAAGTCACATAAGTGCCGAAGATTAGAGGCGTTACAACAAGAGAGTAACAAACACAAAAAAGGAGGAGGGGAGAGAAAGACGATAGTTTTCGATAGGAAAGAAGAAGTAAACCACCAACCACCCTCGTGCTGAAGTTTAGAGGTGATGCAAGAGAATAACATACAATGAAAAAGAGGAGAGATAGAGACAATAGATGTTTAAATTTTAAAAAGGACCAAAAGACACCAGAATACCCCACATGTTTTTCCAAAGTTTTTCAAAACACCCTAGATCCTGACCTCCCCATAAACTGATGGCGAAAGAAAAAGCAGCATGAACTCAATAGTGAACTAATAGCTAACACTAGAGTTGCCTTGTAGTCTGAGGAATTAGCATATTCACATATTTTTCCAGGAATAGATCAGGAAAATTGTATTTTTGAAAAGAAACAGGAGCAGATTAAATCAGAAAACCTGCATACTAACAACTACTGGTAACTGTGAGACACACTGAGGAAGAGGTATGGAGCCCAAAAAGGAGGGTACGGGATGGAGTGAGCGATACTATTTAAAAAATCATAAACAGTAAATACATAAACCTTATCAGAGTAAATCCAAAATATCACTGCAAAAATAAAATTATCTCTTTTACTCAAATAAAGATAGACATTGAAATGTATGAGAATAACACAGCAGAAAGTTAACCTTGCATGTTGCTGAGCTGGAGAGCAGAGCCCTGAGAGCTTCCACCACACACTTGGCAAGATCTTGGGCATCAGGACTATCCTAGAAAAGAGAGAACAGGAGTACATAATTGTTACTGGCAGTTAGATACAAACCTGCTGTAAATATATTTTTTCATATCACTTTGTGGGTTCAACTAGCCACAAAATGGGCGATTTAAAAAAGGAAAAAAGAAAATACTGATCTTCATCCAGGTACTAAATCTGCCGTCGTAAGGGAAAATGACGAATGGTCCTGCACAGGTAGCGAGGCAAATTTTTCAGGAGAGGCAAAAACTATTTTCACTTTATAACTCTTCTATTTTTCACTCTTTTAAGCTGTAATTCACCAGATATCTGATTGAGGTGTTCATAAAGCAGTTTCTAAAGTTTGAATGGTTTAGGTTAAAAAGTGGCAAAGTTATTTGATATTCGTCGTTCTCCCTTACATTGTGCACCCGCAGGTGAGCCTTGCGATGTAAACGAAAACGACGAATGGTACGATTCGTCGTTCTCCCTTACACTCGTGAACGTTTATGGGCGTAGGCGATGGTCAGTTGGGACACATTATTGACAGTAATGACTGTGTACAGTTACTACAAATAAAAATAAAGACGGATACAAACTAGCTATTATACGTATAAAGTTAGGTGTTTTTTCAAAACACCCTAGATCCTGACCTCCCCATAAACTGATGGCGAAAGAACAAGCAGCATGAACTCAATAGTGAACTAATAATATCCCAACTGTAACTCAGTAAACGTGATTCGTTTCCCTTCCTCGTTTGGTTAAATACTGCACAGTCAGAGTATAAATCAGATGTGCACACATTTTCAACAGCTTGATTTAAAACTGTCTCATTCGGAACCAAAGTTTGGTCTCCATGATATCTTTATTGTATTCTCTTCAGAAGTCAGTTTTACTTTTATTTTCGCTTATTGCAAAATTTTCCCTGCACGACCAAAGGGTCAACAATGTTACAAAGTCAATAGTACGATCAGATCATTGCAAAGTCAAACTTTCACGTAAGAAATGTAACAATCTGACAAGACTGTATCACAAACACTTTCGGGAGAGGTAATGCGACGCTTTGTATTTTTAATAAAGGATTCAGTTGATCGGATCGGAAAACATACCACAAAGTAGAGATCGACTTGGACAGTTTGAATCTGCAAGACATTATTATACTCGATCGTAACGTCCATCAAGTCATAAAAAATCGTAAAGCAAGACTAAGTGTCGCCACAATACGTCCACTTTTTAAATCGGACAAAGAAATTTACTCTCATAACGCAGTGTCATTAATTGCTTGGTAATTCTATAATGATGTCGACCAGTGACACATGCTAGACAAATTGCGGCACTATAACCATCGTTGGGATGTCAAATGACTGGACAGCAAACTAACAAGAGACGTTAGTCTGTGAACATCTGGCGGACACTAATATGCAGTGCTAATAAATTTCTCCCTAAATACTTTTTGGACCCTCCCATCCCCACCCCTTTCCCCTTTTCCCATCCGTTTTCCCCTCTCTCCCGCCTGCTCTTGTCAATTCACACCATCAGTATAAGCCTAATACGTGAAGACAAACAAAAAGACACACTAAGTGATACATTCTTATAAACCTGGTCCACGGTACTCCGGGGGAAGGGAGGTGGTGTATTTGTTTGCAAAAAACTTAGTATGTTTGTATTGACGCAACAGTGACCAATTGTCATTTGTCGCCCCTACCGAATTTGCCCAACTGCACAGACAAGGGGACAACGCCGAACAAGCAGTGATCCTTGACCGATCGACCATTCGTCGTTCTCCCTTACTGAGCTCTGGCTCGGAGCTCGCCAGTGTAAGGGAAAACGACGAACTCTCAATTACGCAATAACGGATTAGGATATGACAAACATTTTTACACAATCAGGTGCAGAATTAAATACTCTATGAAATATATAAAAATAAAAAAATCTAAAAATTTTGACAATTCGTCGTTTTCCCTTACGACGGCAGAAATGTATTCAGGCCAATTTTTTTTTAAATCTTACTACAGTAACTGGCAAGTCGGCCCCCCCCAACAATGAGTAATAAAGAAACATCACTTACTGGAAATACAATGAACTAACAGTAAAATGTTATTACGAGTTGGCCAGATAGGTCTGAAGCAATAAAGAGAGAAAAAAATGAATACAACTAACCGAAGCAGACTTGAGGGCAGAGATTAAACCTTCAAATGTACGATCAGTTCCCAGTTGAACTTGTAGGGCTAATTTGTCTGGACATTTCACCAATTCCGGGAATGCACCTGTCAAACATCAATATAAACATAATGGACACATTTTGAGAACGGACAACATAAACTTTAGTATAAGTCAAGAATTTTTTCATACATCTGCTGTAATGGTACTCAAATCTCACATCGCATCAAACATGAAAGGTGGGTGGTTATTGAGTGCTGTGGTGTGATTTGCTCTCCTCCTTTCTTATCGAACATGTATCGTCCCAATCTCTCCTCCTTTTCTTTCTATGTCACTCTCTAGTAGTAACACCTCTAATCTTTGGCACTTATATGACCTAACTGTGTTGCAAGTGCTGTAAAACTCTTACAAAAACTAAACATTTTTTATAAATCCATAAATTATGTTACATAATCCTTGTCACAATGTTCATGGTTAGTATAAAAACTAAAATAACTATTTGCTATCACTCAACAGGATGTGTCAAAAACTTGATGGTTAACAACACTCATATATGCCCTCAGTATGGCAATTCATTCAACATTATATTCCATCAAAATGCAACACCATGTGTATAATCAAACTTTCTGAAACACCCTGAACAACGTCTGCCATTATAAACTGAATTTCCCTTATTCCCTTTGGTCGTTGCCAGCTATTCAAATCAAGTTGTAAATAGACAGCAAAAGATCTTGTCGGTATGTTAAGTGTTTTAGCGCCTATAAATGGTAGCCTACACTGCATGCTTCACAGGAAGCTGAGATTGTTTGAGAAAGCTATAAGGTCTGCTGAGGTAATAGTATAGATTGTAAAAAGCATAGAGCTTGTTGTTGAGCGGGAATTTGCATCACACAAATGCTTTTTATCATACATTGTGGGGGGAAAAGTCAAAATTACAGGTTAGAAGACCTTTGAGACTAAGCAAAACAATTTCCCATTTCTCAGGTAAGCTTAAACTGACTTGAAGAGTTAGATGTAAGCAATAATTAGCAATATTTTCGTTAGTGGGCTGAGCAGCCAAACTGCTTATCTAGAAAGAATGTTTTTGCTTTAGTAAGAGTTTTATGCCATTTGTGACACAATTAGGTCACACAAGTGCCAGAGATTAGAGTGTTACAACAAAGTAACAAACACAACAAAAAAGAAAGAAAGCAGAGAGATAAGTACAATAGATTTTTTTTTTTAAAGGAAAGAAGATGTAAACCAGACCAGAGCACCCGCCACCACCCACAGAAAGAAAGTGTATTTACATAAGCAAACAAATGAGCAATGAAAAATCTTTAATCTCACCAATCATGTCAATCAAGAGCTTAGAAGATGGCTTCTTGCCTTTCTGTCCCAGCAGTACACTCACAACACCCTCTATGACCTCTGGCACTTCCACCTGCCTCTGAAACAGAACATAGCAAAGCATGGTATTAAGTCACAGTTTTTAGTTTAAGTTTTAGTACAGGTTTTACGGCGATCGCAACTGCATAAGGTCATATGAGCGCCAAGGGGTGGATGTCAACAGAGAAATCTTTATAGAGAATCAGGTTTACTCTACTCACTTCTCTAGCTTCAACAGTACAAGGTCTGCTTCGACTATCAAGGCACCGCGGAAATAGCGGGTCACAAGAGTGTGACAAACATGCAAAAGAAGTAGAGGAAAATGACGATAGTAAGGATTAGGAAAGAAAAAGCAGCAGTTCCCTGCCCTGTTGCAGTTCAGGCGGCACAGTTATGAGCATGACATCGAAGAATCAGACTGTTTACAATTCTACTGTGCATAAGAACATGTTAATATCCACCCTTTGGGAATGACATAAAGATACTTCAGTCAGTAGCACCGCCCGGGGGGTGGTATTAACCCTATCCGTACGTCGTGTTTTACTATCGTATCCATACGACGTGGGGAACTCTGCGCCACAACTTTCCAAGAGGAAATTTACTCGTTAATCAAATTCATAGGCTTTGCACAGCAGTCTGTCAAAATGATATTTTGAGATATACTGAAAGTTTCAAAGAAATCTTCGATCTGGAAGTATTCTAAAATGTGAAGAATACAACCAAGAATACAACCCTGAATACAAAATGACCCCAGGGTGTACGGATAGGGACAAGTCTCTGACCTTGCACATCGTACAAGTTGGAAAAAAAGGAGTATGCAATACAAGACAGACTGGTGAGAAAAATCATACATCTTTTACCTTTCCTCTTTTTGTATCCCAAATCATTGTTACATGAAGGAGAGTGGTCGAATCATTACATACAGGGAAGGGGTAGCATTGGTTGATTGTGCTTATAACATCGATGGGTAAGGCTATGGGTAGAAACAAATGAGACATTAATTTAACCATTTTCTATTGGTCAAACAGAGGTCCAAATAGATGCAAGCACTGAAAGCTGTGCAGTGGCAACACTGGCATGTGCCATTATCAGAGCGGCTGGGACAACACTTTGCAGGTGTGAAGTTTTGATCAGTTTGCTGACCAGACAGGTGACTCGAGATCACCGTGTACAGCCCCTCTGGACCCCCACCTCCAAATTCCTCTGTCCAACACAGATAATGTCTGAGACAGAAATTTTTTGCGGCTGCCTTGTGATTCCGTCATGCACAGGTTCGACTGTATACTCAAGGGGTTAAAAAATGGTAGCAACTATTGAACTAGACTGTTTTAGTCAAGCAAACAAACTTTCCAACACTTTACTCATATGTAACAAAACAAATCACTCTTTCAGTCCCAACCTGATCTGGGCTGCCAGTGTGTAAGGCGTGCACTAAGCGCGTCAAGCACAGCAAAACAATGCGTTGTGTGTTCCGATGCTCTTCCTCAGGGACATCTACACAGCAAGCTGCTGTACCCGAGAGGATGCTCAGTATGATGGTCAAAGAGGCTGGGTTAACCGCTAATGTGGCATTGGTCTGTAAAATTGGCGAAGCATCAAAGTTTTAGAATTGATCGCAATACAGTAAAATATTTATTTTTTTTGTTCCATCAAAAAAAGCCCATTAACATTGAACACAGAAATGCAAGATGATAAAACAGATACAAGCAAAGTGTGACAAATTTTTTAAAGTAAAGAAATCTTGAAGTTCATATTATGTAGACAAACACTGCAGGATATTTTTACAGTTTATCATTTAATAGATATTGGGAAAGATCTTCGCAGGAGCTGATAGTGTTTATTTTAACACACTGGAGACGTTTCACGCAGCATTTGCAAGCACTAATACTTTCCCGAGAGGCGGTTAACACACCCCCTGCAAGCACAAGCTTCGCGTTTTCTCCTTGGCAGAGTATGCGGGCAAACGCTGCACGAACCATCTCTTACCCTGCAGCCGACCTTTGTTTCATTTTGTGCAAAGTTTCACCGGAATTGGCTGGTAACTTTTTGAGTTATCGACCCGGAAGGAAAGTTAGTCAAACTGAGGCCCTACTTTCATTTCTCTGACATGTCTGTTCTCGCAACACTTTGTCAGTACACTGTACGATGGCAGCTTGTTTAGTTTTAGTAAGAGTTTTACTGCACTTGCAACACAATAAGATCATATAAGTGCCGAAGATTAGGTGTTACAAGAGAGTAACAAACACAAAAAAAGAAGGAGGAGAGATCAGGACGAGAGCTATTTGATAGGAAAGAAGGAGCAAACCACACCAGAGGACCCGTCAATCACCCACTTGGCAGCACGAAAAATCAAGCATTTTTCAAGTGTTTGACGACTTTGACAGTTCAGAAAATTCTGATTATATTTTAGACTATGGGGATCCTGATTTCAATATAAATGAGCATCAAAGCACTGATTCTAATAGACAGCCAGCTAGATCTAGACTAGGCTTTCAAATGCAAAATTCGCTTTCTGTGGATCCTGTTTTTTTCACATTGAAGTGGATTAGACAGTTAATACATAAGGATTAGCATATCGATTACCTGCCTATTCATGAGTTTGGACTTTATATTCATTTTGAAACACAAAACACAATAAAAGACACACACAAAGTTAATTTTGGGGGGATTTTGTTGAGGTTTTTTTACACAAGACATTACATCAGAAAATTTTGGCGCGCAACCAATTTTAGCACAGTTTCAAAAAATAATTTCTAAAAAACTATAAAAGATATCGCCTTTCTGTTTTTTGTGTCATATTGGGTATGTTTAGATCTGTTATGTGTGTAAAAATGGTGGTTGTATGTCTTTGGGAAAAGTGATGTTTGAAATGTTGAAATACCCCAAAAAATGCTGTCTTCAGCGCAGGTAGACCCAAAAAAGGCCCAGTCTCCTGTGAGTTAAAACCTCTGACAAGCTTTTGCCTTAGAGTAATTAGCTAAACAATAATTTAAAAAAACAAGGTGAAACAAAAATATACCAAAACTCAGCAAAATGGAGAGAACACAAGAACTACGACAGGCTGGGAAAAGTAATTTTAGTACTGGCAATGACAAATAGTCTAACAGGGCAATGAGAGAAACGTTACACTGAAATGATAACAACACAACCAAACTGACAAGTAAAATTCAAATGAAAGCCGTTCGTTGTTTATAAATTCACATTTCTTCCAAGTCAAAAAAATCGTATGGTTTCACAGTGAGTGCGAGTCCGTTGGCTGACCTCTTTCATTTAAATTAAAACCTCAGTCCCCAGAAAACACATTTTGAAATGCAATGACTTCTGAAGAGAAAAATAAGCAGCAACTTACTGAGGAGCCAGACATGAGAGCTCCGAACAAATGCAAGAGACGAAGCTGCAACTTGCTGGACAGCCGAGGCTTCTGGAAACAATCTGAAGATAACAAAAAAAAGTGTGATGAAATAAAGTGTATCAGCTGATTTATATGTAGAGTGGAGTCTGCATAAACCAAACTCAGTGGGACTGCCATGATTTTCTTCCATTCAGCTGAGTTTTCCGTTTACAGGAGTTTCTGACAATACTGATGATTGTCAACAACATAAATTTGGGAATACTATGTTTGCTGCAAATTTCCCTTCTTTAAGTTTTTTTCTCATTTACCTTTTTCAATAAGTGCAATTTGAACTGCCAATATACTTTTAACTGTCCTTGAATTCTCCATTTTCCTAAAATGTAAGCAGCTCTGTTGACTCACCATACACAAATGGGATGACCTCACTGTGGACTAATGCTGGCTTGAAGTGTTGGTGACTCACATCAACATCCCATCTGAGCAGGGTACAAAAACATGAAATTTTCAACAACTTTGACAAACAAACATTTCTCTGCAACCATCTTTTTACCTGACTACTTAAACACTCCAAAAGGTACTCAGTCAAAGATATGCACGAGTATGCATAGAAATATTTGATGCAAATTATACTTCTCCACACAAAATAGACATCTAATTAGCTTATCACATGACTTCCCAGCCCCATCACAATATTGACAATAGTAAATAATATAGTAACACTACTGACTCCTGAAGGTGTATAAATAACGGCTGCTTCCTTTTTTTCCAATATACGATTTTCTGAGAACCATTTAAGGAGGACAATGTTCTTCCTCACGCTCACAAACTTCACCATGCTAACAAATCAAACAGCTTCAAAACTTTCAGCCATACCCTTTAAGCCTCCTCCTCCATACGAAGTAAGGATCATACAGACACTCAAGGAAGTGAATGACTGAGTGGACAAAACTCTCCCAGTCACAGGCATCAGATGCACTCAGTGACTCTTCTGATGAGCTGCACAGCTGGAACAATAATTGTAGAGCACTGAAACACTCAGGCCATTATAACTAGAAACCTTAATTTAAAAGAAAAAAAAAGTATTCATGACACTGTTCAATTATGATTGTTGTTGTCAAAAACAGAATCTCCTTCTAAAAAAAAAAATTGGGTTCAGGTCCTTCACACTGATATAAATATACAGAATTTGTCTGACCTCTGACAATGGGCACATTGATAATATTCTGCATTATAAAAAAGATAGTGCCATATGAAAGCCCTTTATTTCCCTGTACATCACACAAAATTTTTACATCAACATATCCCTAGTTGACAATGACCTAGTTTCATCTATATTTGATAAGGAACAAAGTGAAGTATGATACACTAGAAACATGTTTCAAGGGCTGAAAGTATTTTGATATATATTTTGGGGCAATAACACAGAAAGAGATGAACAAATTGAATCAAGAAAGTACGGAAAATTAGCTTTCTCTCCACACTCAACATTGTGGAGCAATATATAGGTACTAGCTGGGCCCCCTTTCGATGAAACGAATGATCCGTGCATTGACATCACCTGAGTGAAAATCATTGGCCTCCTATATTTTTACACTCTACTGGAATGGAGCAATAAATCTTGAGAGATGCAAAAAATTAGAATGTCTAGATCTAGATATATACTCTCCCAAAAAAATGCGCCTCCCAAAATATCGCTTCCACACCGGGTTTTCTAAAATTACAGAGACAGAAGCGTCAGCCAACAAAAGCGATCGGCGAAGTAAAAAAATTTAGCTTTTTGCAGCAAAACTGTCTCAAAACTGAAAAAAGGAAGGGCGCCACGATCTGGAGAATATTTTAAAGAATCTTTTGGCGAAAACAGCATGTCGATCAATGCAGCCATTAAAAAGCCTTTTAAATTGCAAAATTCGGCCACCACAAATAGATAATAGAAGACACTAGTACAGTCCTTTAAAAAAACAATAAGTTTTTCACCAAAGCAAAGATAAACTTCACTGGTAAAGAGCGATGGAAGGAGTCTCAGCAAAAGAGCTTCAAAGGCAACATTTCAATCAATTAAGGCATCACAATCCAGTCCATTTAGTCGACACATTACAACTTCCAAATGAAACATGGATGTAGGAAATAAAAAGGATAAGTAAGGATCAGATTTGAAACAAATAAACAAACAGAATAAAGAACCATTCCTTCATTTAGAGATTTTATCTCAGTTAACGGTTGCACATCCTCCTGGTTTTCACTGGCCATCACAAATTGATTAAAGTAACTCCAAGAGCTTCTTAAACTAATCATTTACAAGCATAATTACACAAGGTTTTTAAATGTAAGAATTTCATAGCTAAAACGTGAAAGAACAGACCAGTTCAACAAACTTTAAACATGCACTTCTATGGAGAAAAAATCTCAATAATTGGCTCGCACTTACTACCTTGGTTAGGACTGCTTGGGCGCTTGCAATTGCTGAATTCACAAACTCACATGAGGATACCAACATCACATTGTCATAGTTTCTGAAAATTGAAAACAAAACAGCAAACAATTTATACAATTCTTTAAAAAGTAATAATACAAATAATACTACTACTACTACTAAATAATAATAATATACTAATAATAATAATAATAATAATAATAATAAATAGCACCAAAACTTGTGAAACTTCAGTAAAACATGGGAAATATTTAGAGACAGATTACTAACCAAAACCCGTCAAAACAGAAACTCTCTCCTTCACCCTGGATAATCTTTCTATTTCTTTAACCTTCAACCCCTAAACATAGAAAGTCTTTTCCTTTGGAGGGTTCTGACCTCTCCAGGAGAAAATGCTCTGCCAACTCAACCCTTTTTTTAAACAAAATTCTCAAGTTTGTTTCCACTGGATCTAACCTTTACATAATACTGCTAAGCCAAAGGGGGGGGGAGTGGTTTGGGGGTATCTTTTACCCTATCCATGTGAGCCCTGAGCTGTGCAGATGGATCAGAGTGAATGGGTGGGAAATTTCACCACAGCTAGTCTTCAAAAGTGCTCAAGTGGTGGGCCAGCACAAAAGTTTTCCAAGGTTGCCAATGGTGTGAAATTTGACCACTGCCTGTCGGTCTGATCATACAGAGCCCAGAATCATTTTTATATGGAGGGTAATTACACTGATGGGTGGGGGCCGCTAATTGTGGAAAAAAAGAAGATGTTTAATCATTTCTTTTTCTTTTTAATTGATCAAAGAGTGGTAAGAATGAGATGCAAGCTCTTGTGGCAATAGACTTGATCCATGTCATTATCAGAGTAGGTGAGACAGCAATTGGGAGGAGTGAAGTTTTGACCACTGCTTGATCTCTAGAAAGGTGACCCATCATGTATGGTAGGCCCTTTTGACCCCTCTCCCACCCCCTCTTCCCCCTAAATTCCTCTGCCTCAGAAGATTGCCAGACATAATTTTTTTTTAAACTCACTCACGATTCCATCTTGGACAAGTTTGACTGTATTCATCATGAATTCAAACATAATTTCTGGTTAAACTCTGTAACTGTATTTCAGATTGGCGACAAAAAAAAATGGACGAATACCATTCAGCTGTGGTGTTTTTAGGTAAGTAATAATGACAATCAAGGCAAGTGGAACATAAAACTTTCTTCTTTTTTTTTTGGTAAGTGTTTTACGGCGCTCACAACTGCATATAAGGTCATATGAGACACACACAAAATTTTTCAGTTCCTAGGTAATTTTGAATTTTGCCCGGGTGGTGGCCATGGCCTACTCTTATCGATTTTGGACAACCAAGGGATCTTTAACATGTGCAACTTGCACACGGGACCTCTGAGACTTTGCACCCTTGTCTGAGAAGGCTAAGCGTATATCTTACCCTACCATAAGATCAGAGGTGTGGCCGAAAGACAGCAGTAAGAAGGAGATAAGGAGAATCAGTAGAAACTTTCAGGCTGCAGAAAGAGTCAGGAGCCCAGGAAAGGGGGAAAAGGAGGCGAGGGGGTGGGGGAGAGACGAAAACAGACGACATAACATTGTTAGAGACCAAGAAAGGATGTGAAAGGAGAAAATTTTAAAGAAAATTTTTCCATCGCTATCTGGATTTGAATCCGGGACCATTGAATGAGAGGTAAACACCTTAACCTCTAGGCCACAAGAGCCCCCCTATAAAACTTTATATATTAGAAGATTATTAGAGAGGCAGACACATATAACATCAAGACAAGAGGGGGAAACACTATGTTTCAGTCACTTTTTGAATGAGTGTAATTTTGAATTTAGAAAAAATCTTAGTTTTAAAGTTTGGAACCTCACATATATATTTTTTTTTTAAAATAAAATTCTCTCCATACATTTTTACATGCACTCTGTCGTTTTTCTCTCTATAAAAATGTGTTAAAAACTATAGTGTCATCAAGCTCACAATGAGCATGTGCAATACATTCAAAATGAAAAATGTGTCTGCTGAATTTTTTTAAACCTTGTAGTTGTAGTCCTAACATATGGAGTCTGCCTATACCAAAAACAATGGTTAACCAAATGAAAATAAAATATCCTTTTTTTTTGTATGAGAGCAACCTCTTTAAACTGAAACACACCTAAACCAAGAAAAATAGTCGTCCCGAAAATTTTGGTTTAAGAAGACTCTACTCTATGTTTTTATATTATGTTGTGCGTCCCACTACCTGCATATAATGACAAGGCACTTAAGTATGTCCGCTGCCTGTTTAACTCCATCAGCACTCAGCTTGGTTACAATCTGAAGTCTGCAACGCTTCAGCTGCAAGCCAAGCTTTTCCAGAATGGCTTCAGGATGCTGTGTCAAGTGGGGGCTCTCTTCAGTTGATCTGGAGAAGACACAAAAGTACAAGCTTTTAAGGAATATAATATAAAGCTTTCTCCATTCCATTTTCGATGATAAACCATGGTGAAGTTTAACAATTTACTAGTCACGAAAGGAATGTGTATGCAATAACATATAGTGTTGTAAAGCCCAAAGCGCTTGCTGTTGAACCGGGTTATTTACTCTACAAATATCTAAATTACTTTTAAACTTTATCATAATACAGAAAGTTAAAAGGTCACACACATATGTTCTGCCAACCATTAAATCAATGGGACCTAATAATAACTCACTCATTTGAAAGATTGAGGAAGTCTGGATCATAAAACCGACTGTAGACCTTGATGAACTCATCCAGAAATTCAGAGAGGGCTTCATCGTTATTCTGAAATATGCACACAAAAAAGTAAAGTTTAGTAAAAACGCAGCCTTTCTTCAGTCCACCCAAAAATCTTTTCAAGGGTTGAAGACAATACACATTCCACCTTGTTGCTACACCCTTACTCAGTCGGGCTCATTATTATCACCACTCTAAAAAATAATAAAACTTATAACAGTGTCAGTGTACTGGACAAAAATTCTAGACCTGTGTCAGATATATTTTATAAACAGTCCTCTCTCCATTTTTTCCACGCTAACATTCCTCTTTGGAAAGCTAAAGATGTTTGTTTTGGACCTCTTTGCCCCCATCAGCACCAAAACCAAAGCTGACAGATCACACAGTTTGATGGAGCCAAAGATTTCCATACTCCTTTTTCCAGTGTAATAAAGAGTCTAAAAAAAGATGAACTTGAAGTATAATATACATTTTGTGATAATATACGGTATAGTGTATAACACGGATAGCTCGAATTCGTCGGGACCGGCCTTGGTAGTTCGAGGGATCCGTAGTTCAAAGGAAAACTTACAAAGATAAAGTAGAAGAAAAACAATCAGACCACAAGGAACAGGAAGCACTGTTCGGCGGAGGCATAATTTCAAGTCTTCTGTGTTCGACCTATCCCGGTTATTGTATATTTACCACAAATTTTCAACCCTATTTTTTCCTTTGACCAAATAAATATGTGTCACGACGGAATCGGGCATTCAAAAATTTGTGGGATGTATCATCTTTTAACTCTTTATCTCTGTGTGGGGTAATCCCACTATGTCGAGACCCTTTTTTGGTACTTAATCTTCCACTAAATTGGTCATTAAATCAAAACAAGTGAACTTATTTCGATAGTTTTTCATCTAATGAATGAAATCCCGAAATAAAATAAGACTGTTCTCGGCAATTGCCGAAAAGGAATTTGGCGTCGAAGTCATCGTTAAGGAAGGTGCCTGAGCCGCTGTCACCGGCACAGCAGTTCTGACCGCAAGCCGCTGGGAGCAGCTTGTCGGAGATAAAGAACTCAAGCTTGTTTATAAATTAAATTTGTCTTGTCTTTGACGACCAAAGAAAACATCTAATGTAGAGGAATATCATTCGGCAGCTACAAGACCACATGTATGTGCCATCATTCGTATCTGTTCCTTGTGTCCATTATTATTATTTCCCTTATTTGTCAATCGTATTCATCTGCTTTATTTCTGTTCCGTTTCTGTCCCAGTCATGCATCGTCTGACGTATGTCTTCATTGTGCTTGATTATTAAAAGTCTACGTCAAGTCACAAAGAGTGTTGACATTTATCTAATTGCAGGAGATGGGGGTCGCCTGGTGTCAGAGGTAAAATTTGCGAGAAAATGGCCGCCAAAGTTTGTGACTTCTTGCGCTTGAAAGTGTTATTAATTTATGGACATGATATTATTATAAAAAAGATTTTGAGCTAAAAAAAAAAAAAGTTTGAAAAAAAATTCAAAAGCCAGAAAATGCCACTTTCTTTGATTGATTTCATTTTGACAAGCACCTGATTTCAACATGATGCCCAGTGGCGGTGGGTAGTGAAGGGCTTACGGGCTTCAGCCTCTCACCCCCACCCCAACTCTATCCCTTAGTTATTGAAAGTTTCAAGTCTTAAATAAGCAGTTGAAACCGTCATGATTGCATGCAATGAACACACAGTTATCAGCTTGGTAGCTTGCCCGTTTATCCAATCATTGTTGTCACCGCTTACAACTATAGTAACCTAACAGCCAATCAAATGTCATTGGGGCTCTGAAAGAAAGCCGGTTCCCACGCCCGTCTTTAATGAAACTCTTCTTGTAAAAAGAGAAGACTTTTAAAAAATAACACTGCACAGAGGGCTCACGCTCTCTCAGCCCTGACAACGGGGTGAAAGTTTACAACACACTTTCCCTCAATGACACAGATACCTATGCGCCCAATGGGCCTTTGTTAGGCGCGATCTATTTTCCGCAACAACACGACCTAATCCACCTCATAGACGGTGTGTGTTTGGAGTGCTGTGTGTTCGTGCCGCTGAGATTTAACAGTTATTAATTAATTACATGAAAAACCACTTTTGAGGCAACTTTTTCTTCAGATAAAAACTAATTAATTAGAGAAATTCGGAGGTGAAACAGCTTCGTCCCCACCATCCAGAAGAGGTTAAATTTAACCAAGAACAAAGAGACGGAAGACAAAGGTGACTCTTCTCGTTTGAATGGTGCTCAAAATGGCGTGACTCGCCATGAGTATAGAAAAATTCTGCAGCAAAAATTTTATGGCAGTTTAGCCCTAAAATCAGTGCATCTCTGTGTGTGGGTGCATTCATTCTATATAGGTAAAAATTCAACGTTTTAAATTTAAAAAATCAACAAGGAAAACACATTTTTCTAGATCTATAGATTTCTAGGTAATATAAACGGCCGGCTCTATTTCTCCGAACGTTCGGGAAAATAAATTTGAACTTTATTTCTCCGAACAGATTCCGTTCTCGAGATTTGTTGATAAATATAATCATAAGCGAATGGAGTGGCCCGTGTATGTGTGTGTGTATGTGTGTGTATGTGTGTGAGTGTGTGTGTGTGTGTGTGTGTGTGTGTGTGTGTGTGTGTGTGTGTGTGTGTGTGTGTGTGTGTGTGTGTGTGTGTGTGTGTGTGTGTGTGTGTGTAAGGTGTTGAGGGATTTTTTTTTACATGAACAAGGATAATATATAGTTTTTGCTTGGTGACTAAATGCAAAATAGGTTACTGCCAAGGTCGAGCAGTCTTGTTTTCTCGCTGTACCTTTTGAAGGTATTTTCAAATGAAGTATAGTCCAGGAACGTAGCCCAACCACAACTGAAGTCTCTGTAATATTCAAATCTCTAGCTCTAGAAATTGAATTTGATATGCAAAAAATGCTTCTTCCCAGTCCTCGCAGAATGGAAGAATCAAAGGATGACGCCTAAATCTCGCAAATGACCCAAAAAATCTCGAAATCGAAAACCGTTCGGAGAAATAGAGTTCAGCTAATTATCCTTAACGTTCAGAGAAACAGTCACTTCGAATATAAAAAATAAATCACAATTTAAATTTTATACACAATTACAGGAATTTTAACAGAACCAGGGCCTAAATCTAGATTCTAGTTTAAGTCCAAAACGTTGGCTCTGGCTAGGCTTTTTTAACTTTAAAAATAAAAATTCTTCATTCTCATCGTCTGTCTTAGCCTAGGTCAGGCCTACGTACTGCTAGATCTAGATCTAGTCTTAGCTAAAGTCAAACGAAGTGACTATTCGGATTCGAGTCCGAATATGAAAAAATGTTATTCGGACTCTGATTCTTGTCCAGCATGACATCACTTCCCACTTCCTGTGACTCGTGACTCCAGCTTCCTGTCCTGCCTCACTCGTGACTCGTCTTAGGCTGGGTAGAGACCGGGATCACTTCGGGCAAAATGGCGTTTTGTGCAGGAGCTGAGTTTTTATCTTATGATGAATTTGAGGGCGGCCTGAAAAGTTAGAGCGCTTCTCTAATATGTTTATTTGTCAAGAGGTCATCAGAAGCAATTAAAGATGGCTCGTTAGCGTGTGTCGGGGTCGGATGGGCGGCCTGCACACGTGTGGCTGTGTGCGTGTCGGGGGGCACTATCGGTCCGGGCGTTCAACATCGCATACGCGTCAGTCTTTTTTTCCCCGGCAACTGATCATTATTACAATTTAATTTATAAGCTAGTCAGCTAGTCTTGACGTAGATCTACGTAATGAATTGTGCGCTGGTCTATGGAATCAAAAGTTGCCGTATGCTCAGCTCTACACAGCAACACAACTTTTTTTTGGTAAACAATCGAGATGACACAGGCTTGTGTATTTGAACGAATCGGTCTTTTTTTTTTTTATACAGCTCATAATATAGGTGCCAGGTGGTCTGCTAAGCTTCAATTTTACCTTTTTCTACAACAAAGAAAGTGGGAAACATGGGGGGTGGGGGGGGGTGTATCAATGAAGCGGCGGGCATCGGATCGGCAGAAAAGGTGTGGGGGAAACTAAAAAATGGCGGAAAATTGGAAAAGCACTGAACGTTAGATTAGAAGATCTATAGAACGAAGACACTTCCTTTTTTCCAGACCCGAGTCCGAATAAAATTTTTTTCATATTCGGACTCTCGAGTCCGAATAAGATTTTTTTTAAATTCGGACTCGAGTCTGAATATGAAAAATTCTTATATTTGGACTCAGCCAAAAAAGTCAAAATCCTGTGTATATGAAACCATGTTAGTTCTAGATTTATATTAAAACAGGACATGCAGGCTTTAGTCAAAATAGTCCTAAGTATGGATCTAGAGATTAAAATGAGGAAAGTGGCTATTCTCACCCGCCCGGAAGTTCTCGCAAGATCAACTCCTCCCTCTTCTCTCTCTCTGTGTCTCTTTCTGAATACTGTCTATCGGTGTGGACGATCAAATTGACCAAAACAAAGTTTAAAAATGATGTTAAAACACAAAAGTAAATTAATTTGGTTGTCTACAAAGATGCTACGGCTATATTTAACTTTTCGAATCCAGTCGAACTACGCGGGTCGCCATTTTGTTTTGCCCGGAAATTCTCGCGCTACTCCTCTCTCTCTTTCTCTCTCTCTCTCCGCTGCCCACAGACAAAATTGTACGCTTTTAGCAGGCTAGATTCTACAGTTGTAATGGAACGTTTGTTCACGGCACAGAATTCTACAATTTTTCTGTTATCACAGTACAGTGTAGAATTCTGTGGTTTAGGGTGAACGCAAAATTTGGTGAACGCGCACCGGGTGAGAATAGCCACAAGATTCGCCTGCACTATTCTCACTCCGGGTGAGAATAGAGGTGGCCTAAAATGAGATTAGATTCTCAGATTCCAGAGATAAGAGTCAGAAGAAAAGAAAGAAGGTGGACCAGGTCCAGGACGAGAAGTAGGAGGGGGGAGGCAACGTCGGGACCCCTCTTACTCTTACACTCTAGCCTAAATCAGACACAAGCCAGAGAAGTGCAACAAAAATGATAAAACCAGGATGATGCACTTGCCTCAAATACGAAAGTCGACCACTTCCGCAGTAAATTATCCATTTTCAAATATCAACAGCATTGATGTAATAATAATTTTGCTAAGGTAATAATCGCCATGTTACGGTGTTATGCCCCATAACATAATCGCTCATCCCTGCCGGAAGAATTCTGTTAGTCAACAGTGCAACCAGGTAAGTGTAGTTGCAATCAGTCATTAACATTATGTATTACATTAAATCTGCAATGATTCTTAAATTAATTGTTATATCAAAGATTTTCTGCAACAGTTTTCATCTGGACAAAAACAAACAAAATTTCAGAATTTTGAAAGGAATTTCCATCTAATTGCCACAGTTTGCTTTTATAAACTCAAGTGCCTCAACATTGAGCCTATATGGCAAGGTTTTACACACTTGTTCCTGAATCTTGTGTTATTTTCGGCGTTGGGAACCAAAGGGGAAATCCCGTAAGATTGAGAAAACATTGTTCGAGAGATTTGAAATATGCGTAACATATGCATTAGGCTGAGCTTGGACATAATATGTTGGATCCGATCCTTGAGAGTTCTGCTTCGCAAAACATGCTATTTTCAGTCTCTTTTTTGCAACAATTAAGAAAATAATAATACATGGATGTTGTAAAATACTACGAAACACCATTAGAAACGTGCGGTAGAGCTCTTCACTATTGAAAAATTAGAACAGCTAGCTAGTAGCTAGCACTTCTATTTGGCAACGCGAACGTAAAGTGAAATAGCCGTAGCATCTTTGTGGACAACCAAATTAATTTACTAGCACTTGTTGGCTACACCCCTGGCTGTGTGTAATGTTTTTTTGTTTACTCAGATCAAGTATTCCTCTCAAGACTTTCGGATCAGGTAAGCAGTGACACATTGAAATGCATTTAGACTCTATACTAGACCTTAGATCTAGATTAGTCTAGATCTATTATATAAATATTAAGGCCACCTCTATTCTCACCCGGGGTGAGAATAGTGCAGGCGGGTCTTGTGGCTATTCTCACTAGTGGTGCAATTGATCGATCAAATTTTTCGATTAACCGAGCAAGATTCTTGGTCGAGTAAATCGACCAAAATGGTTTCTTGACCGAGCAAGACATCAATCAAACGCCAAAATTAATTGTCGCTATCAAACAAACGCGAAACCCATATTTTGTCATTGCATCGTTTTGAAAACCAGCAAACTTTAAACTTATAACAAAATGCAATAAGCATTTA